AGACACTACATACCAAAAAATATAAAAAGAACTATTATTTACTTTTTAAGCTTTATGAAACTACCCGCATTTATGATTATATTTATCAATATAACTTATGTACAAATACAAATTTGTAATATTCCACCGGAATAAATAAAACAACATAGGTAAATAAAACAAACTATTTTATTAATAATAACTCCTACCAAATTTTATACCTTAAAGGTTGATTAATTAACTTTAATCTTAATTTTTTAAACCAGTACCTTTTGACATTATTTTTCTGCAGTACTAAAATCCATTATTTGCCTATCGTGTGATGTCGATATTTTACAGCTACTCCAGTTTTTAGTATGTGTTTAGTTTGATCCTTCTACCTTATACGAGATGCACTTATCTACGACGAAATTGTATACAAACTTTATCGATGGCAACTTCATTGGTGTATAAGACTTTCTGCCTGGGCAGCGAGTATTAACCATAAACTGTGCTCTGGGTCTACAGTTAATTTTCACTCGATTTTTCCTCCACTTGACTTCAAAAGACACAAAACACACGTAATAATACGAATCAAAATGCATCATCTTCCAAAAACGCAGGGTATTTAACAAAAGTTGACACAAAATTATAACCTATAATTTGGCAAGACTTTGACAAGCGTCAAAAATGACAAAAATCTAAAGGCGAGTTCATACGCATCGGCGTCCGTTTATCGTTCATCGTTCCGTCAAACCAATAAAATTGAAATACGATCTGTCATTTTTTAAATAAACCAATAAAACTGGTTAAAAACAACAAGACACGACGCATGACGGATTTATATTTAAACCCATCCGTAGATAACTTAAAAATAATTAGAAACTTTTTTTAGTAAAATAAATAGATTGGTATGGGACGTCATCTGCTTTTTTTCTGTCATCGTCTGTCGAAATCTTACCTGAGAAAAAAAACAGAGTATATACTATACCAGTTAAAATACTTGCACTTATTTCTGGGACACCCTGTATAAAATTATATCTTTATAAGATCCTTTGCACATTAAAAAATATTCTAAATCAGTCTGATTTATCAAACCCCCAGAAAAATACCAAAAAAACTCAAATTACCCCTCCCCATCCATATCTCATCCTCTATTAATTAGCCCCGAATCTCACCGAGTTCAAAACAGTTATCCTGTCCCCTTCACACTTCAACCCCCTTATTGGACCCCCCATCCCTCGGTACGCTGCTCCAGGTGTCACGTTCTCACACGTGCTTCCCGTGGCAACTCCCAGTTCCGCCGTTCGGGACACTCCCACCGCTGCGGCTCCCTATTGTCCGAAAAAAGGGGACAGGGTACGAAAAAAATTGTATTTTTATCCGACGGGATTTATTATTGTTCTGTCCTAAAGGATGGGATAATGGAATCGGGTCGTTATAGGTAGGACATATCTGGTCTTTGAGGATGAGCCGGTTGGCAAGACGACACTCATTTTCCGGTGTATTCTGTGCGTAGTTTGAAGAAGACAACTTAATATAACGGAAAATGCATTTAAAATTGAATATATTCTTATACAGGGTGGTACTTACCCATGGGCGTCGGACAGGGGGGCAAGAGGGGGCATTTGCCCCCTCCTGGATCACTGAAACAATAAAAATAAAAGCTATCTTCTTACATCCATCTGTAAAAAAATAATCATTATTATGAAATTGTTAGGTGTTACCTGTAAAATAATAAAAAATGTGGTAATTATTGGGAAAACTGTCACCAAAATTGGTATACACACTATTTTGAGGTCGTAGATTACGAATCTATTTTTTTCTTGACGGTCTCTTACCGTTTTTCAGAAAAACGGAAAATTATTTCAACATTGAATTTTTCTTTATTTTCGGTCCTATAAAGTAATAATTTCACTATAATTTCATTATATTATAGTTTATCTAAAAGCCACACTTGATTGGGGATAGAAAAGTGTCCAACATTTTACTGAAAAACACTTTTCTTAACAAAATAGCAAAGAAAATTGAGACCAGATGGAAGTTTGACATTTGATATATCCTTCTTTCTCTCTCCTATGTAATAAGAGAGACAAATTTATTCTAGACCTAATCTAGAAATTTGAAAATTTACAACGTTGCCATATCTTCAATTTTTTCGGGTGATTACGGATTTTAAATAAATTACCTATTATGAGATCGACAATAATTAAATATACACCTATATCCACAAAATTACGCGGAAGAGTTTTGATTGCATTGGTTTTAACTTCTTTGCGGAGGGGGTTAATCTTTTTTTAGTTAATCTTATAATATAACAACAAAAGATTAACACCCTCTGCATGGAAGTTGTAACCAATGCAATCAAAACTCTTTCGTGCAACTTCGTGGGTATAAATAGTCAGATCGTTGGTAAAATAGCAGTTATGGGAAGGAGCCGTTCTTCTGGCGACCGCCTTTCGTAATTCCAGAATGAGCGAAAAAAACACGCTAAATTTAGGTTTGCCAGAAACACATAAACTTACTTCGGGTTTCTCTTATTACCGATTCTGAACCGTCCTAGAACTGTGATGAGTATGCGCAGAAGAAAATATGAAGACATTATTTCATTTGCGCATGTGCTGCAGAGTTCTTGGACGGTTCAGAATCGGTAATAACAAGAACCCGAACAAAGCTATAATCTAACATTTTCAGATTGTTTACAAATTTATTTTATCAAATTTTCCTCTAGTATGCATAGAATTGGTTAAAAAAGTAACAGAAAATAGCAAAAACATTATTGATTATTGAATACCTAACAAAATATGTGCTAGAAAACCTTAAAAATATGAGAAATTAAGAAAAATTAGATATTGAAATTATTTTTTCGTTTTTCTGAAAAACGGTAAGAGACCGCCAAGAAAAAAGTTCAGATTCGTAATCTACGACTTCAAAATAGGGTGTATACCAATATTGGTGAAAATCGGACGATTTCCAGTTTTCCCAATAATTACCAAAAATGTCAATTTTTTATTCATTTTTACCTTGCCCCCCCCCTAAATTTCATTCTTCCGGCGCCCATGTACCTACCTCTCATATTGAATGGGAGTTCCAAGGAAAACGACAGATTTCATGCGGTAGAAAAAAAAGCATCAGATATACCTTGGAAATGAATATTGCTTTTATTTATACCGGGTGCGTCTCAATAGTGGCTCTAAATCTCGTTTTTTTAACTGAAAAAATAAAAAAGTTATAGCGGTGAGCCACTTTTGAGACGCACCCGTTATACAAAGTTATATGGTGAATGTGTGATTATATGTGAACAAGATAAAGGCTTTTAAACCCTTAACTTTGATTTTTCGATAAAGATAAGAGTTCATAACTCCCGTTTTTTTTTGTTTTTAAATCCAAGAACTTTTACCAGAGGTTGTACAAGAAGCGTCTGTTTTTAGAGAAGAATGCAATATGTCATCAGGAGAATTATTATCTAGAACCCTGCCTGTTTTTATTACTTTTTAACGAATTTCCGACAAAAATATGGGTTTTAACCAAGTTTTAACTGATATTTTTGTTTTTTACACCCCCGTCCATTATAATAGCTTGACTTAATGGTATATTATCTTAAATTTCGTCGTCAATCCATATGGAAAGTTGTCTATCAATTTCCTATATCGTATTATTTCCCAAATAGAAAATTCTATTTGGAGAAACATTTCTAGTTGTAGTTGTTTATAGCATGACACTATTTTTTCTTCATTTTTGAAGATACAAAAAAAAAAGAAAGGAATTTAAATAAAGGAAAATGTATTTAAAGTTGAATATAATCAGTGAATATGGCGAATATGGCTGTGTTTTTATAGTTTAAAACAGTTTTTATTTTTTTAATCACTATTATATCATAAAGGTCAGATTTATGTACAAAAATCGGTTCAAATTCTGTGTTAAACTATACAGGGTGAGTCTTAAATAAGTGCAAATATTTTTAGGGCTGGTATATTTCGACCCCAGGAACACTTCTCTGAGTTTTTTTTTCGCAAAAATTGATGTTGAAAATCCTGCATTTTCTTTTGAATTTTCCTGTATATTTTAGAAAACTTTTTGAAACTACACGTTCACAGCAAATTTTCCCACGGTATAATTTCTTAATCTCTGATAATATTATCATGGTTGGCTTTACTCTATGGTTACGGCACTAAAAGGGATGGAAATACAGAAAAAATCCGGTCGCTCTCAATTTTTTTTCAAAATTAATATATATATTTTTTTAATTTTCAAATTTGAACAAATTGATTATTTTGGACTGATTTGAAAAATGATAAAGAGTGTAATATGTTTCTTTTATCGAGACCCACCAGTTTTGAAAATATTTGCACTTATTTAAGTCACCTTGTATAATGATGATTTACCCGTAAGACATAGGTACTCTATTGCTTTGCACAGTTTTGTTATTAATTAATTATGCATAATCTTATTAAATTAATAAAAATCTTAAATATGTATTTTAAGTAATATTAATTTTAGGCAATTATTTATTGTATTTTACGACTTACTGGATACCCGACATACAGATATTATCTAGTTTTATTTTTTTCACTAAGAGACGCGAGGAAGAATATTATACGAAAAACACGCCACTTTAAAATTTTGAGCTAATTTAATGTTCAATATATTTTGTTCTAGTGAGTTGATGTTGGTCAATTTAAGCAATTTGTAACTACATTATTTGACTCTTTCTGAAATTAAAAATTAAAGTCTCCATCTGTCTATTATACGAACAAAAACAAAATGTTGTTATTTTATAACTTATATATCACTCCATCCTCCCTTTAAGATCACCCTTACCCTCCTGTTTCTTTCCACGCACAACAAAATCTTCACCGTCGTTCCATCTTCCTTAACCTCTCTCTTATCTCTGTCCCGTTTTCGGGGGGGTCCTCTCCACCCCCCCGGATATCCACTCATCCAATGGTGCAGGCGAGGGCGTGGTGGAGCCCCGCCGTGTCCGCCGCCCCAGGTCCAACGTCACGAAGATAGCGAAGTCTCCTCCGCGGCGCACCGCAGCACTAGGTCGCGCGATATACCCGAAGAAGACAAGACGATCATCGCGAGGTCAAAACTGGGGTTTCGTGGTCCGTGCCGATCGGTAAATGAGAGAGACTTTTCGAAGGGAGTACGGGTGGAGAGTGTGTTTTGGAACTAACTTAGCGGGTATTGACTGAAAATTTGTTTTGTTTTATCGATCGAGAAAAAAAAATGGAAAATTTACTGTGATTAATGATATTGTGACGGATTTATGAAGATAACGAAGTTAGACTGTCTTTTTTTGTTGTTTTTAATGACTGAGTTGAGTTTTCTGCGAGATGAATTGTGCGTATTCGTATCAGGTACAGGCCACGTCGCCTCAGGAAGCTACAGGAGCTGATTTCTTGGAGGTAATTTTGTAAATTAAGTAGGCATGTAGCAGGCGTATAGAATGATCCGGCTTTTTGCAAAAAGACTAGGCGTATTATAAACGCCAGCTTTTTACAAAAAAAAAGAATGAATTTTTACAAAAGCCTCTCTGTTTTCAGTCACTTTGCAAAAAGCCCAATCAGAATTAGGCATATTAAACAAATGACGATATTTTCTGTACACTTCTGCCAAAAAACTGCCCGTTTTCAGTCATTTTACAAAATGCCAAATCGAGACTTATTATATTTAGATGAAAGCAACTTGAATCCTATTAAATTTCCAAGGTTGATATATTTATATACAATATGCTAAAAAAATCATGAAAATAAGGCTAAAAATTAAAAAATATATATGTACTTAATACTTAACAGAAGCAAAATAAAAATGGACGAATATCACGCCAATACCCGGAGACAAGATATAATTGCTCCGAATTTATTTGTAAATTATACGGTCGCGACCCGTCCAATCCCATTACCATTTCGTCTAATTAACATTAGAAAAGTTCTATTTTGACAGTAATTATAGAAAGAAATAAAAAAAACTTGCTCTAAATTGCCGCTCGTCATGCCACTACTATTCTGACCAACGAAAAACCGACCTTGTTCTGAGTAATTAAATTCAAAAAAGTCTATCTGGGAAGGATCTCTACGGAGGTAGTTTTGGTTTTTGTTTCGAGTCGTAAAGGAATAAGAATACTGAATAGACAATATAGATATAATCTTATATAGTGTGTTAGCATAAAGCTAGAAGCCAATACAAATACACAAACAAATTTGCCTACCGAACAAAAAAAAATGCTTAATGTTTCGGGAAGTATATCTCATAAAAAAAACACAAAGAACAAATAAAAAAAACTATTTCAAATATCTAAATATAACTATTCACTTTAGTTTTTAGGCTTCCGTATCCAAAGGGTAAAAACGGGAACCCTATATTACTAAGACTTCGCTGTCCGTCCGTCCGTCCATCCGTCCGTCTGTCACAAAGGTCTATATGAACTGCTATAGCTAGACAGTTGAAATTTTTACAGATAATGTATCTATGTTGCCGCTATAAGAACAAATACTAAAAGCAGAATTAAATAATTTTTTATAAATAAAAAAGTACTTTCACTATCTATATAAGTACTATCACATTATCTTTTAAGTAAGAATTTTACATAGAATCTGTCAAGTCCTCGGTGGCCGCGTGGTTAAAGCGTTAGGGACTTTACGCTGCTATGACGTTGGTTCCAATCCCAGTCAAGGCGACTTTTTTTTAATCGTTTTTTTTTTAATTTTTACATATTTTTACATATTTATTTTTACTTTTTACATATTTATTATTGATTAATACAATTTTTAGTAATATGTTTCTGCATTTTTTTTTTAAATTAGTTATACGCGCATTTAAAATTTCAGCTAAACCGGAAAAAAAAGTTTATAATAATATTGTGTCTAATGTTGTATAGATATTGAATGGTACGGAACCCTTCGTGCGCGAGTCCGACTCGCACTTGACTATTTTTTGTTAACAAATACGCCTAAAAAACCTGATTTTTAAGCAATTTGTAGCTAAATTATTTGACATTTTTCACAAAATCTCCGACAGTCTACTATATGAAGGAAAATGAAATGTTATTCTGGCCGAAACTTTGAAACACTCTGTGGACAAACAATGCTGGTGAGCTGTAAAGTAAACTTTATGGATATAAAATTTAACTCTCAGTAACCCTACTAGACCAACATATAGGTACATGATAGTGTATTGGAATGATTTTTTTTTGAGCTTAAGGAACTTCCTTAATAGAAAGCGGCGTGTCGTTGCGGATCATCGGCGTCGATAAACGTCTTGGCCGCGACGTGGAAAGAGAGAAGGGAACGTCATCGGTAATTACCGACAATTACCTAACTGAATAACCAGCGGTTTGCGACAGAAATTGACGGTTCGGCCTTTATCGAATTACCGACCGTTCGATGCCTAACTTTTACCGGGTTTTTAATTTCGCTAATCGGCTGCTCGCTGCTCTTTCTCTCTGTATATGTACTCTATACTAGCTTCACGTTTATCCGGTAGTTAACCTCGGGGTTAAGTTCAAGGAGGTTAAGATCGAAAAACTTACTCTTAGATCGGTTTACTTTTGTCTTTCTTTTAAGACTGATTACTATAGGCATGTGCAAAAAAATAGACTAGACTATAGTTCAAAGCAAATAAACTTTAGTCACGGTTATTAAGCTATCTTGTACCGCTTCGCACTAAAAGAGGTTAGGTTAGGTTAGGTTGTAAATTACAACCAATTACAACCTAACCTAACCTAACCATGTTCGACTGCAAGGTCTGCTAGTCAACATTTTCAAGCTTAAAATATCATAACACTATTTATTTAAATCAAAAACTCGTAATACAAAACTAAAGTGTCAAAACGAATGACAATATCAAAAAATAAATAAATGAATGCGCCAACTTGACATTTTTTGCAGCAGAGCTATCACCTGAATCCCCAGCGCGAAATTTAAATTCCAGTTAGTTAGCGCGGCGCCGAATTTATCCATGGTTGGTAACAATGAATTTAAAAATCGCGCCTTCGATTACATAACTGAAAGTTTAATTGATATGAAATACAGGGTTGTTCACCAAATACGACACGGAGTATTGTAGCTAAACGATGAGATTTTTACAAATTGTAAGTTTTGGGTTCGATGAAGGACTATTAGAGGTACAATTTAAAAATAATTTTACAAGATACAGAGTGTCCCAAATAAGTAAAAAATATCAAAGTTGTATTTTTTTAAATGGAACACCCTGCATATTATAACATTTTTAGTTTCTAAAATTAAAATAAAGGTAAATTTGATTACGATTTATTATACTTAAACCTTACCGTTTTTGAAATATTTTCAATTTTGTGAAATTGCAGTAAAAATTTTAAGGCTTCATTTCTCCAAGGGTATCAAAGTTTTTAATACTAAATATTTACTGTAGTTTATTTACTGATCAGTTATTGTGTTGCAATAATAAAAATAATACTACCTTATACAGAGTGTCTAAAAAGTTATTTTAAATAATTATTAGCTTCAAACTGCAATATCTTGTTTAATTTAAATGGAACACCCTGTATATTTTACGAGAATCAGATGCACAATTTAATTGTCTATCAAATTACACCCTCTACAAGTAGGAGTACCAGACATCAATTTTCATCCAAATATTGACGTTACTTCTTAAATTATTTGGAAAAAATCATAATAAAAATGAAACATCTACACCCTGTATCTCCGAAACTAAGCATTTTAAGGCATACATTTATAGGAACTTTTTTACTTATTTTAATCTGTAGAATATGCTGCCGAAGTTTCCGGAATACAGTTTGGACCTCCCTGTATACAGTTTGCTAAAAAAATCATGAAAATACCTGATATAGAAAACTGACAAGTAAAATGTTAAGTGTAGACGGGGCTTTGGACTCCTTTCTTACTCTTTTTATTCAATGGAGTACTCGGTACCATTTTCTCCACGGTACCATCCGGGACCGGCCGGCGTTTGGCCGCGTTTAAATCAACAATTACCTAACTGTATAACAATCGGTTCGAGACAGAAATTAACCGTTCCCTCTATGAAATTACCGGTATCGGAGAACTACTCCTTGTCGAGGAAGCGGGTAGTACCACCGCGGCCATTTTCAGTACCGTTCGCGCGGGTTATTGAATAAACGCTCGCGATCTGACCTTTTCCAGCAACAGGCTAATAATAGGCAGCGCAGTCGAAATGATTGTTTTTTCAATGCATAGGAATCCGAAGTACCGGGGAAAATTAAAACGGTACCTATATAACGCGATGTTGAATATTTAAAAATTCGGGTAGTATAGTCTAGGGTAATTATTAGGTTAGTACCAAAGGCAGTTAGTTGGTTTTATGATGCATTATAACACATGTCAATTGTTTACTATACACGGTGTCCATATAATTTTATTTTACATATAACAATACACACCACGGAGATCTCCTAAACGAGAAGAGATAAAAAGATAATTAGAGATTATATATTAGATAATTTTAGAAAAAAGTTGCGCCTTGCTGAACCCTACTATATATTTCAACTCCGATTTTATTACAATTTAATTTACAAATATTCTGAATTTACAGACTTTTTTCCATATATACAGGGTGGCGCCTCTCATACGCCGGCACCGCGGAGGCTCCAAGAAGAACGAAAGTTTGTATTGAAAGTAAATTTTGTGAGCATATGTAGGTTAATTCAGAGTACTTTCTAAAAATATAGAGAGTTCTACAGAATGTCCCCAAAAAAGTCACATATTAAAGTTGTATTTTTGGTAATGGAACACCCTATATTATATTAATTGATTTTCGGTTTCCGGAAGAAAAATAAAGGTGAGTTTTATAAGAGAAGTATATGACTAAAATGTAAGGTTTTTGACATATTTAACATTTTCTAGAAATAAAGAACAATTTTTAAATTACAATAAAAGCTACCTAAATTGGAATTTACCTGCTATACCGGGTAAATTCTAATATATAGATAAATTAACTATTGTACTTTAAATCAAATTAAAACGTGATCCAAAAAGTTATACAGGGTGAGACAAAATTAATATTGAACATTGGTCACCTTAAAAGGCATGTTACTCTTTGATTTTAAATGGAACACCCAGTATAGTATTCCGATATTCAATGGAGAATTCATGTCTTGTTAAAATACTATTGAGGTTGCCTACCCCTCAAATAAAGATATTCCTAGATATTTTTATTTACATGATTTGTTGATCTGGGTAGATCTTTATTATTTGATAAAATCTAGGTGGCTGGTGATATGTTTGACGTTACTTCAACATACCTGTCTAATACTCATGATTTTATCTAGCCTGTTTTTTTATGGGGATATATTAAGCACTGTGTTTAAAAAACTCGACCAGCTATTGTCGACAACATAAGAGAAATGTGTTCCATTAGAAAAAAAAACAACTTTGATGTGTAACTTTTT